TTTTATTTTTGTGGTATTTACAAATGCCACCTACATCCCTCACAGTCAGTATACAAAGTTTAAATTTAAAGGCTCCAGGCGAAATTTATGGAAAGCTTTCGCTCTTTTAAGAGCAATAAATTTGTGTTGCAATCATGTGTTACTATTTAATCGCTCTTAAAATAGGATTTTTGTTCAGATGCATAGAAAATAGACCAAAAGCATCATATTGTCGCGATTTCAGTGATGTAAATTCAATAAATAAATAAATACTGCTAACAAGCTAGCTAACCTGCATTTGCCGCGAGATGATTTGCATTTTTTTTTTATTAAGTGAATTGATTATTCAATTCACATACTTACCTGACAAAACTAGTTTTGTATGTGAAGATCAAATCAAAAACTTTTCATACATGTTTGAAATATTTTACAGTTGTTTGCAATATGATACAAAAAATCATATAATCTGAAAAGGACTTTATTTAATCAAGGTGAAACTGCATGCTTCTTTATAAATATATATTGTAGATGAAAATACTTTACGGAAATCACGTGCAGTTATTTGAAATATAGTGAATATCATGAAATATGCGATTTGAATAAATAATAAATACATTTAAATAATTTGAATCGTAGATGATCTTGTCTTCCTAGAATGCACAGTGAATAATAAATCGTTTTTTATTTTGATCTTCAAAGTTCTGGTGAACGTACCAGAATGATATTATCATGATTAGAAACAAGTTATTTTCATTTCGAATGTAATAGAAATATTGTGTAAATATGTTCATCCTCATTAATACATCACATTAAAATCAAACTATCTATTTATTTATTTATTCATTTTTTTTGAACTCTGTTTTATTTAGCATTTATGAACAAGATTTATTTCTCTTACCGTCATAGATATTAAATGGTCATAATGTCTATTATCCAGAGATAAGTAAAATTTTTTGAACACAGTAATTACTTTGTTCTATAGTGACTTCGATAGAATTTTGCCATAAAATACCATTCTGTTACAGTATCAGCAATGTTGATAAAGTACTTTTGCATTCAGGTCAATCGTTATTACCTTTTTATGCAGACTCGAGAAAAACGATAATGTTCCTTGGCAGTATTCGAGAATGTACTATATTTACATCGTTTTAAAATCGAGGGAAAATATTAGTTATTGATCTAAAATAATTAATAATATTACAACTAGATGACCCGGCAGACGTCGTCATGTACCCATGTCTACAATTTTTTAATATAATATACTAATATTTACCGTTTACCTAAAATTAATAATTATTGTTTTTGTAAATTACTCTTCACGCCAAAATGCATATACAGTAGGCCCTCGCTTTACACGGCATTCTGGGTACACGGTTCCCATACTACACGGAGCTAAAAATCCGACATCCCTCCGACTACACGGACTTTTTATTACGCGTATTTGGTCAACACCCATAAGTTCGTTGTGCAAAAGGGTATTGATGTAAATTTTGTTATCGACTTTTATCTTTTAGACATGCCTGATTGTATAATAGCCGCCTAAGAACACGTTTGAGCTGACTACTACTGCGTCGCGCCAATTTTTGAATAAGGTGTCAATGTCCTACACGTCATTTCGTCCGTATTTCTCCTACTTCAAGTTGTATTTCTTGGTCTCCATACAACGCGATAAAAATGGTGCGATTTGTACCAACTCTGAGTCTCTCATCACGGTTCCCATACTGCACTATGTAAGGTTCCATAGAACGCACTACGAATTAGCCTGAATTGTATGGTAAATACGAGTTTCTTATAGCATGGTTCCTATACTGCACGGTACGCACTTGCCGCGTAAAGCGAGGGTTTACTGTACATTTTTAATATGAGCGATGTTAAATGTAGAACTGCTTTAAATAAAATGATGAGTCTCAATTCTCACACTATGTTAGAAATTGAAGTCTTTTAAACGGTATAACATAACCATAACCATAACATAACACTGCTACTTCATGTTGGATTAAATTAATTTAATTTTTTTTTATTTAAGATATTCAAAATTGCATCTTAAACTTCTCCTAATCGATATCGTGAGAGCCGAATTGTATGTATTCATCTTTACTTTCCCATTTGTTGTTATAAAGAGAATTTTTTACGAATTTTAAAAATATTGTGGAAAGATTACTAAAAGATGCAAAAAAATTATGTAAAATCTACATTGAAAATTCAATATCCGAATCTTGTGTTGGCGCCCCCAAAGACGTGCGCTCGTATTTTTCGCATGCATCGTATTAAAGGTAGGACCTGCCCTGATTAATACTTAATTTCATATTTTAAGTAAATTAATTTGTCATATCCTGTTCATATGTTCATATGTTCATTCAATCTGCCATACATATACTGTATTTTATATTATTTTAATTTCTGGCACATCTCAGCTGCTTTCGGCAATAATAATGTAGACATTTCATTTTTCTTATTCATAATCATAAATTTATTATACATATTCTAATATTGTTTAGGTTCATAAGTAAATTTTTGGCAGATGAAGGTTTCATTTATTTTCAATGTAAACAATGACATGTCGTTTTTTTTGCATTTTTTTCCATTTATTTCTATAATATTGCACATACATCCCAGTACTTTATAATCACATACATCCTAGAAAATTTCCTTAACAAACTTCAGAAAGATTTATCAAATTTCGAATAATCGTTTAGAAGGAGTATATAGTGAGTGCTTGTAATTTAATATGAACTTCAATAGCAATGAAGCTCAAATTGATTCTACGTTTTAGTTAGAAAACGTTTGTTTGAGAAAAAGAAAAGGGCTGTTTTTAAGGTTTCCCCGTAAATTATCAGACTTTTTCTTGCCGTAAGAACCATCCTTGGACTTCAACGAACATTTAAAAAAAAAATTGGCCAAATTGGTCCAGGCCTTGTTGCCTATTTATAGTATTATTTATAGGAATATTTATAGTAATATTTTAGATTTGTTCCAGCTTTCGTTTCCTCAAATGTTTTTCATTCGGAGTATTGAACATTCTTTGAACGTGCATTTATAAAATATATGCTTTAATAAAATCGAAAAAAGTCAATAACATTTTTTAATCATTGTTTATATAATATTGTTTATACTATAATTAATGAGTTTTTTTTCTATTTTCAGTCGTATGCGGTCATGGCATGTAGCTGCTAACTACCCAGAAAGGAAGTCCATTTTTGGTGTTCTACTATTGCGTCAACCTGCAAACAACACGTAATAAAACGGAACTTCTGTCCTTCGCACGAGATAACATCAAACGAATTTACTGGAACAGAATTCGTGGAAAAATTTAGTGATGATCGTAATCCACGACTTCGGTTATTCTTGAAGGAAAAAAGAAGAAACGTGATCAGTGCATAGTACTTGCACGGAATTAAATTTATAAGATAATAGATATATGTGTTTATCTATTGCATTCAGTATAAGAAGGAACTTACTAGAGTTTTGAATTTATATTATGGTTATTGGTTTTTTGAAAATTCTTCGGGATATAGATACTGAGAATCGTTAATTATTATTGTATTACGAGAGAGTGTTTTGGAAGAGTGACCAAAGGGCCGATTAGTGAAGGGCAGACGAGTGCGATGAACACCGCAAGGGACGCGCAGAGTTCAGCGGCACTCGCCACTCATCAAAGGTACCACCATCAACCTGTAGGACTGACTTTTGCAGATCACGCACCCTGCTGGTAAGATAAAAATTTCAGACTATTGTCTTTAAAATTCTCTAAGAACCTATAAAACTTTATTAACTTCCCTAAGGATAAGTTTGTTTTTTGCAAAAAAAAAACGATTTGAAAATTTTATGTTTTCTCGAATCGATTGAGACCGAATTTGGAAAAAACATGTGTGAGTATGTGTGTAAGTGAACAGATAATTGACATTTCGCCGAAAAACGGCTGGTACGATTTCAAAAATTTAATAGCCATTTGATGTACTTCGATGAGGACTAGCGTTTGTCAGTTTTGCGCGACGATCGGCCGAGCCGTTTCTTTGTATATAGCAGAAAAGTGTAACATTTTTCGCCAGCCAACAATCTTCAATCGATTTTGAAAATTCAAAAGCTTTTTGAAATGGTTGGGAATCGCGTCGATCAGTTTTTAGTAGAGTAAAAGAAAGTTTGGCGGGGTAGTTTCTTTGTAATTAAATGTTGAAAAAAATCTGACGATTATGATGAAACTTTGTATATTGATAGATTTTGTAGTCTTAAAGAACATACTAAAATTATAAAAATGTATTATAGTTTGGGTTCCGCCGCGCCCTTCGGTGATTCCTATCAGAATCTATTACGAGCATATGTACGTTTTGTGTTTCGTAAGTAATTACTGACTACAGTTGACGTCTGAACTTAAATAAAGAACGTTCTTTGAATTTAATAATGATAAAATGAAAAGTGTTGAACTAAGGTGGCCATACGCCCTGGTTTGGCCGGGACAGTCCCGGTTCTCCACCTTGTCCCGGGCTTTTTTCTAAAAGCAATATTTGTTCCAGATTTAGATCGATTGTCCCGAATTGTCTCCAATTTTCGAAAGGTATAGGTCGAAATTGAATTTTCGCTATAATATAATTATAACTATGCATCGAATATCTGAAAATGTTATGTTCAACTCCAGAATAAGTGTTAATTATTTTTAAATAATTATGAAGAAAATTGTGCAAAATGTTATAATAAGTTTAAAACCTGAAAAAATAGATTCATAAATATAAGAAAAAGTATTAAATGGAATCGATAAATGAGAATTTTTATTACTCTGATTTAAAAATACTCCTTTAAAAAATACTGATTTTTATTGCATTCTTAATTAGTATTTGTTACTTCAAAATCATAAAAAAATTGTATAAAGAAAGTAAATTAATCAATTTGTTGTAGGCCGCTGATGTTTCAGTTTCTCTTGTTTAAGACAAGACAATCTATCGCAAAAAATTATCTGTTGCTGAAATAATCATTAGAATAAATGTTCAAAAACCATATATGATCTTAATCATTGTATTTTATTCTAAACTAAAATATATATAAAAATGTTTGAGTAAATGATACCAAATTATAGATAGGTCTTAATATAAGAAAAGTACTCAAATAATTAATAATTTGCATGTTTAGAATAAACCTTAATTTATTTAAACAATCTAACAATAAAAAGAGCTTTATTTAATTCTATTAATATCACTAAAGGGCATTATTACTTATTAATGTACAAATCTGAGCGCATTGTAAACACCAATAAACGCCAATATAATTCTTAACCGGAAATTAAATTAGAAGAAAGATTTTATTATATACTAAAACCAAATATTTGATTTTTGTGTATTTGTTTGTTTATAGAAACAAAATGTCAAACTTAGTTTCAAGTGTTAGTGAATTCTTAATTTTTTTGTGAGTGATTCACCTATTGGGTGTGGCATATAATTAATATATCAAAATTATCTTTGATAACATTTATTTCTTTATTATCATACTATACTTTTTAAATGATGATTTAAAACTGATTTTTTATCCGTTTTTTGTCATTGTATACTTTGTGATATCATCAAAGATTATTTCCAAAAATTCTGGTTTAGTAACAAATAATCTTTTTATTTTTTCAAAATTTCCATAACAAATGTACCTAATAAAAGTACAAACATCTGGATATACGCCTCGGAGGCGTGCAGTTACCGTTCTAGGGTTAATGGTTTTACTTATTTATATAGTAACATGCAAATAATTGATATGTTATACATTTAATTACTTAATTACGTAATCATTGTGTACAATGTTTAATATGAATTAATATTTTGAATTTTTCTTATTTCAAGGTATATGCCGCCAACAGCACCAGCGAGACAGAATAAAAGACCACCACCACTGCCTGGAGCCTCATCCTTAGATTGCTGTCCGCCGGGAAATATCAAGTCGGATATGCATGCACCACCACCGATTGTACCTCCGCATAACAATGTGGTAAATAATAAGTGACATTTTTTTAATTACATTGATCTAAATATCACACCAAGTGAAAATACTCGTTAGTGGACATGGAATTAATATTAGAACGTTTGCTGTTTTATTAATGAAATTTTATTTTCCAGTCTTCGTCCATCCATCAGCAGCACCACCAGCCAATTTTGACAGCACAACCCAATCACCCGCCGCCTCCTTTATCGCCCAAGTCGCCAGTCAACCAATCTCAGAGTCAATTCACAATCGCCCCAATTCAGCCGCAAAAATTGTGCCTGAACAACGGCGGCCCTTCACACCTAATGTCGACGTCGATGGGTTCTCAGCAGCTCCTGGCTGCTTCTTCTAATAATTCAAGTCAAGTAATGTCCACATCGATGATCGGCGGAACAAGTGCTATTCCAGCACAATCTTTTGGTATGGATAGCGCGAGTAAAAATTTACTAAATAATATACATCAACCAGTAACAGTGGTTTCGAGAGTTCAATCCGTGTCGCCAACATGTGCGCAGAAGAAGGCTGAAGTTAAATTAAATGCTATGCCGTAAGTATTTTATGAAAGGATTTGTTGGATGTAGATGGAACAACAACTTGAATTATAATTTTATGTTGCAGATGGTTTCACGGCAAAATATCTAGAGAAAGAGCAGAACAGCTTTTGCATCCTCGAGAAGATGGCCTTTTCTTAGTTCGCGAATCAACAAATTTCCCAGGAGACTATACGCTGTGCGTATGCTTTCAGAATAAAGTTGAACATTATAGAGTCAAATATCACGACAACCAATTAACAATCGATGATGAGGAATTCTTTGAAACTTTAGCACAACTTGTTGAGGTAATTAACACCTTAAATACAAAAAATACAGACGTTGTCCTGTAGCATGTCTACAATTTTTTAATATAATATACTAATATTTACCGTTTACCCAAAAATAATAATTATTGTTTTTTAAATTACTCTTCACGCCAAAATGCATATACATTTATAATATGAGCGATGTTAAATGTACAACTGCTTTAAATAAAATGTTGAGAGTTAACTCCTATACTATATTGGAAATTGAAGTCTTTTAAACGGTATAACATAACCATAACCATAACATAACACTGGTACCTCATGCTGGATTAAATTAATTTAATTTTTAATTATTCAAGAAATTTAAAATTGTATCATAAACTTCTCCTAATCGATATCGTGAGGCCCGAACTGTATGTATTCATCTTTACTTTCCCATTTGTTGTTCTAAAGTAACATTTTTATGAATTTTAAAAATATTGTGGAGAGATTAGTAAAAGTTGCAAAGAAATTACATTAAAAAAAAACTATATTGAAAATTTAATATCCGAATCTTGTGTTAGCGCCCCCTAAGGCGTGCGCTCGTATTTTTCGCATGCATCGCATTAAAGGTAGGACCGGCCCTGCTTAATACTTAATTTCATATTTTAAGTGAATTAATTTGTTATATTTGTTCATATGTGTATAATTCAATTTGCCATACATATACTGTATTTTATATTATTTTAATTTCTGTCACATCTCAGCTGCTTTTCGGCAATAATAATGTAGACATTTCATTTTTCTTATTCATCTTCGCAATTTATTCATAATCATAAATTTATTGTACATATTCTAATATTGTCTAGGTTCATAAGTAAATTGAAATTGCAGATGATAGTTTTTGTTTTCAATGCAATTGTTTGACATGTCGTTTTTGCAATTTTTTCCATTTATTTCTACAATATTGCACATACATCCTAGTACTTTATAATTACATACATTCTCGAAAATTTCCTTATCAAGCTTCAGAAAGATTTGTCAAAATCCGAATAAACGTTTAGAAGGAGTATTCATGAGTGCTTGTAATTTAATAATTATGAACTTTATATAATAGCAATAAAGCTCAAATGGATTCTTCGTTTTAGTTAGTAAACATTTGTATGTGAAAAAGAAAAGGGTTGTTTTTAGGGTTTTTTGGCAATTATTCGATTTTTTCTCACCGTAAGAACCATCCTTAAACTTCAACGAACGTTTTAAAAAAAGAATTGGCCAAATTGGTCCAGACGTTGTTGAGTTATGCACTTACCAACACATTTTGCGATTCATTTTTATATATAAGATATATTTATTATTACAGCATTATGAACAGGATGCAGATGGTCTATGTACCCAGTTAATTACTAGTTTACCCAAAAAAGGTAAACCAGGTTTTTGTGTAGACACGAAAGCATTTGTGGATGCTGGCTGGATGATACCTGAAAGTGAATTACAAATTAAAGAGAGCATCGGCAAAGGAGAATTTGGTGATGTAATGTTGGGCTTACTAGGAGGTCAAAAAGTTGCTGTAAAAATGTTGAAAGACTCCAGTGAAGCAGCTCAAAAATTCTTGGCGGAAGCTTCTGTCATGACGTAAGTAGAAACTAGATGAATATAATATTTTTAACTTTCCGTAGGGTAAGTTATTGTAATCGTCCGAAAATCGAAATTGATTTTTTTTTGCATTTCTCCACGTTTTCAAGGTTTCTGAAAATTTTGGCATACGTCAGAAAATGGATGTGTGTGTGTATGTATGTATGTATGGATACAATTTTTCGTCTGCGTTTTCGGGTGCACGAATCAACTGATTCAAATGGTTCGTACAACATTCGAATCCTATTGATAGGAAGTTGTGCTCATTAGTTTTTGACAAAGGCAGGTCCGTTACGGAGATATGGAGCAAAGAGTGCAGAAAATAGAAATCGAGTTTTTGAGAGAACGGAGTATCCGACTTGAACGATTCAAAAAACATTATATTCGTAATGATGGGGAGAATTGGTGATAAGTTTTTTTTTCAAAGGAGGAGTCGTTTCGGAGTCATGAAACTAAATGTGCAAAAAATGACAGTTTTTGAGAGAAATAAGCAATCTTTTCGAATGTTTTGATTCAAAAAACTTTTTGTTTGTATTAACGAAACAATTGCTTCTAGAAAAAATATTTCAAAATCGAATTTTTTTTTACAAAAAAGAATTATTTTTTTTGTATATCAAAAATAATTCAGATTTAATTTTAATCCTGGCTAAATTTTTAAAGCTCACTTACATACTTTGAATAAATAGTTTTAACTTTGCAATTCAGTTCATATAATTCTTATAAATATTAGACAATCAGTATTTATAATAATCTGTTTGAAAACGTTTAATATTCCTCAAACATTTCGTTACGGTACGGGTAGTTCCAGCAATTTACCTTATGGCACAATGCCATACACCACTAGTTATGATTTTATTTCAATAACTACCAAATCATATTATCATTATATTATTCATTTTATTCCGAAAATTATGCTCTAAAATAGTATGATCTCCAGATATTGTCATATTTTTAGTTTCGTGGCAATAATTTATTCGTCACAAAAACTATTTTTTAGTGTGTATAATATGAAATCTTTGAAATGTTTTTATTTGTAATTTCTATATATCTTATGTATTTTACTTTCAGGTCATTGCGGCATGAAAATCTGGTAAAATTACTCGGTTTGGTATTCAATAATAAACATATATGTCTAGTTACCGAATTTATGAGCAAAGGATCACTTGTGGATTATCTTCGCTCTAGAGGAAGGTTGCACGTTACCAAAATAGATCAAATTAATTTTGCATAGTAAGTAATTACCTTTTAATTAATTTATAATTTTGTTGTTGATCACATTTAATATTTCATTAATTATCATTACTTATTATTAATTAATTATCAGTGATACGTGTTCCGGTATGGAATATTTGGAATCAAGAAAAGTGGTCCATCGCGACTTGGCTGCTCGCAATGTCCTAATTTCTGAAGAGGGTTTAGCTAAAGTTTCTGATTTTGGCTTAGCAAGAGATGAAAACTTTACTCTGGAATGTGGTAAACTTCCTATTAAATGGACAGCGCCTGAAGCTTTAAAACAGAGTGTAAGAAATAATTGATAAATAGTTATGTATAATAAACGGATAAATTCTTAATAATAAGCAACAATCAATACTTTTTTTTTACAGAGATTCTCAAATAAGTCTGATATGTGGAGTTTTGGAATTTTACTGTGGGAAATATATTCGTTTGGTCGTGTACCCTATCCCAGAATCGTAAGTATTTAATTTTAAGCCTAATTGTTTTTATATAAAGTATGAAATTTGAAAGTTGAATTAAGTTGGATTTCCATGTTAAACTAATATATTTTTCTCAAAACAGAATTTCCACCTTAAATCATATTTTTTGACACTATGTGCAAGTAATTGCTATATTACTATAATGATTTTTACGAAATGAAATTTTTTAACTGTATTTCGTAAATAATGTTTTCATTTTCACTTAAATCTAAACATTGCTATTTCCGATTGTTTGTTGCTTGCTTGTTTGTCTTAAAGTTTTAGTTTATTGTTCCAAATTTTTTAATTAATTTATGTGCATGCACTTTTACGCCACGTTAAATTTCATTAAAAATGTCGGAACATTTTTTTAAAGAAACTTAATAAATCATTTTGTGCAGTATTAAACATCTGCTATAAGAAAATACTGGCAATATTACTCATATCATATACGTAGTCCTTGACTTTCTTTAAACATTATTAGTTAAAAAAATTATTGGTAACATTTTTTACCCAACTAGAAAATTTTTATAAACTGCTCTTTACTTTTTAGCTATTATAAAGCTTATTCCAATGGCTTTTAAATTTCTGATATTTAAATTTTGATTTATCACAGATAAGTTCGATTCAGAATTTTTAGCTAAAACGTGGACGAAAATTTCTTCATTTTTCTGCTAATTACAATGAAACCAATGCTAGTCCTTATCGAATTATATCGAATGTCTTTTAAATTTTTTAAAATCGATCCAGCCGTTTTTTGAGAAAACGTCGACGAGGGGAGAAACACACAAACACACACACATGCATTGCCAAATTTAGTCTCATTTGATTCAAAATTGCTTGAAACGTCGAGAAAACATAAAATTAGCAAATCAGATTTTTTGCCTAAAACAAGCTTCTTCTCCTCCATAAAAGTCAAAAGAAATTATAAACACTGAACTGTAATTTGCTTATATCTACAATAACATTTTAATAGTTTTACTGTGATAATATAACACTATAAAATGTATGTTACTGTAATGAATTCTTAGTATGTATGATAGAAATATGTAGATGATATTGGAACTTCATGTTTTAGGATCCAAACTAAATTTTTTGTGTGTGTGTGAGCTCGTTTGTTCGAAATATCAAAACAAAGATCATTACTGTTTTTATACTTTGTTTTAAATTAGTGTTTATATATAATTGATACCGTAAATTCATTCAAGATGAGAAAATAACATAATTTTTTTTTACAAAATCTTTAACTTAAAAAGTTAAATCTTTGAAAAGTTATAATTCGTCAATGGCAATGCATGAAAATAAAAAACTATGAAGTAAAAGAAAGGTTATATCTGTTAAAACCAATTTTAATTTTTCTGTAAAGAAAATGCAATATTTAAAATAGTATTTTTATGTTTGTTTTATTATTGAAAAAAAAAGTTTTCTTATAATTTATTAAATATGCATGATTTTAAGTATATTAATATTTATTTTCCGTTATCCATCATATTAAAAACTGAGAAAAGGGATTTTTCATAGTGATTTTCGTTTAGCACAGTTTTTCCATATAAAAGTGAATTATTCGAGTTTCGCGGTTTTTTCTGGAACGTATCTTCTGTGTAAAACGAGGGATAGATGTATATATACAGTTTATGAATTTAAAATTCTATTTATTATTTTTAGCCCCTAGCAGATGTTGTTAAATACGTCGAGAAAGGCTACAAACTAGAAGCTCCTGAAGGTTGTCCTAGTGAAGTCTACGACATAATGAAACAAGCATGGGATCTACTACCAGAAAAAAGGCCATCTTTCAAAGAAGTCAAAGCAAAACTGAGTCAGCTGAAAACAACAACTTCGTAAGATGACTTTTTTTTAACTTTTAAGTATAACATTTATTTATAATGAATTTTTGAATATTTATATAAGTTTTTAGCTGGCACTGTTGTATCATAACTTTATGTACCTACTAATATTTATATTGTTTTTATGATTATTGCAAGTTTTAGTTATATATAATTTTTATTGAGCGAACTCGAATAATATAAGACGTGTAGAGGATACTTTTACGAAGTTAATAAGGGAAATAGACTAATACGTCTATACGTGTGAAATGTAGTTTTGAGTCAGTCCTATTTTTTTAAAGATTTTAATAATGGCAATATTATTATCTGGAATTTCGGTTTTATGGAACATTGGTATTGCTTTTCGAATAGGGAATTGAAAATGTATGAGGACTTTCAAACTTAGATTTAATTATGTTGCACAAGGATTGAGCGTACAATATTATTAAAACCAAAGTTGTTTGTAGATAAAAATCTACATTTTGAATTTCTATGTTTTTTTCATAGTTTAAAGGTATTTGCTTAGTGTTATCTCAATATTTGAGTGTTGGAAAACTAAAGTATTTATCCAAAATATATTTTCTAATGATCAATTAGCACAAGGATTTGAATTGCGAAAAATTTCACACAGTTCGAATTTATGATTGTGAATGTCCTATTCAATCAACACAAAGTTTTATATATTTATAATACGATATGAACTTAATCAGATTAGCTTCCAGATCTTAATCAATGACGGTATAAGAAAATATAATAGAAAAAAAATATAAATGACATAAACATTTTTGAATGTTATGCATATTTAATATATATCTCCCTTACTCAAATTCGTGGAATCCAATTCTTTTGATAAAAATATATAGCGTAAAATAATCTACTTTTACAATCTTGTATTATTAATATTTTGAGATAAATTATTGCCACGGATTTGTACATTTTTAATGACTTTTTAGGCCTGGAAATATTAAAATATTTACAAGATTGTAATAGCAGATAGTTAAAATTCAAATGTTTAAGTATACTAAACACTATGTACGGTACAAATAGGATAAATGTTAATAGACTTATATATTTTCATATGAGTTTTTGATTTTTTTTTGTATTGAGATATACTACATACATATGCAACAGAGAAATTATATCCAGTTATTTTTTATATTTAAAATATTTTGATAAGCTAATAACACTTTTAATTATATTCTTTATAATGAATTAGTTAATATGGAAATTATTTACTTGGTTTCGATGCATTTATCCTGGTTTTTAAATGATAATGGCTGCTCAGTTTATATATATATATATATATATATATATATATATTGATATATAACGAACCTTGTTTTATAAAAACTTAAAATTATGTAAAGGTTTCATACCCCTGCCTATTCCTTGCAAGTTGTTTAGCCATTTCCAAATTTTCATTTCCAAATATTCCACAATCTGCTTCCACACGTGTCCATTTTATAATCATGTTTGCAATTTCTTTATCAAGTTCTTCTAAATAACCGTTATTTTTATTGGATAACTTCCAGCCTTCTCTGAGATGTATCCAACAGGTAATTGAATTTATAAGAAGTTGGGACTGTGTTTGAATGTGTAAAAACGCTTTAGTATTTGAACTGCTTTGGTAGCTTCTTGGATTTCAGCACAAATGTTTGTTGTTATTCCGTTACAAGGTTCCGAGACATTTAGAGGATGGCCTTCTCCAAAGAATACACCAAGACTCCCTTTAGCATTTGGTTTACCGTCATTATCACATTCACCATGAGTGTAAACCTCTACATATCCAACTTTGTCGTATTTAAGATGCATTAGGTTTTCCACATATGTTCGCAGGCAATTCATTTTCCTGGATGGATGCTTTACGCTTTCGTACATTAGGAACATTTATTGATTTTTCATTAGAATTTAATTTGATCATGCAAGATTGTATCGCCCTCAATTTTGACAAAGCCGATACAAAAACACCCTCAAGTGAATTAACTAGTTCCATAGCGACTTCCAATGTCCTTCAGAAGGCCCCATTTTTTGCACATTGTTATTTTGGGCCGTTTCTCAGCCACCAGAGTTTTCAATATAAGGCTTTGCTTCATATTGAGAGTGAAACTTCTTGAACCTGGCATTTTCAAAATTTTCAACTTGTTTCATGCATTCATCCCATGCTTCATAAATTCATGGCTTAATTCCATTGCAACTACCTAAATGGTATAAATAATTTAATATTCAATATTTTCGAACGAATATATGAATAATGAAGAAAAGATTGGTTACCCTTCAAATAAACCGTTTATGGCTTACTTCCTTATCGTTAGTATTTAATATTTGAATATAAAGTCTTTTATTAGAAGGTTTTAAAATACAATTGGCAACATAAACTCCCTCTAGGATTTCAGCAGATTCGCAAAATAGTTCACCTACTTTATCGGTCGTAAATGAAACTGTCGTTTCTGTCCTGGGAGGAATCACATAAGTCTTTGTTAAGTCATCTATCAATTTTATATTCGAAATTTCATCTGAATTGTCAATTGTGGGTTCACTAGCCCTACGATGATTATTATTGGGTTTTACTACCCTATTTTGATCCTTTACATTTTTAACAGAAGCAGGAATCACAAAAGTATTAGGATACTATAGTAATTCAGTACTGCTAACTGAAACCTTTACATAATTTTAAGTTTTTATAAAACAAGGTGGTTCGTTACATATCAATATATACTAGCTGGCCCGGCGAACGTTTTACCATATAAGAAGGTATTTGTAAACAACTTCTAGAGAATCCAAAAATTGTCGTTTCAAACATTTCAAAAAAGTTGAATTTTTTGAGTTTCTAATAACACTTGCGAATGTTTTTGCGTATAAATTTGTTTTGCAATAATGAAATAAGATTCATCTAGAACATCCTATTAAATTTAATGGTACAAAATTTCTCAAAACAATTTGTCATCTGACATGTGAGCCACCATCCATTGTTTCATTTCAAATTACGTTTTTACACAATCTTCTAAATTAAAAATGTAAAGTTTTTAGACTGTTTTGACATATTTTCTCGCCTTTCCAACAATCTCTGAATTAGCACAAATATTTCAAGTCTAAATGTGGCCAAATCGGTTCAGCTGTTTTTGAGTTTAAGCATTTCTATTATTAATATATATATATATATATATATATATAATATATGCATATATATTATATATATATATATATATATATATATATATATGCATATATAAGGTATTTTTTGAAATGTTAATTTGCCAAATACTCTAAATAAAAAGCAAAAAAAATATCAACTATTTATCATGTATGTTTTGACACTGTACGTTCAGTTTAACAAATTCTAAAACAAATATTTTAAATTTTTTTTCAAAAATTGTTAAGCATGCTGAATGAAGACACACACACAGTGCCGAAACGTGCATGATGAATATTTAATTATTTATTGCTTTTTATTTGGAGTGTTTTGACTGTATTAAACAAAATACTTTGTCAAAAATGCATTAGTCCAGATAATAATAGAAAGAAAAACTAAATTATGTTTCTAAAAATAATTTCCATACGTTTCGAAATTTGTTTTTTTCAGTGTACACTAAAATCACATAAAACACTAAAATCAGGGAAAATAATTTTCCTACAGCAATCATATTAGTGAAAAGAATTAAGAATATTTAATTCTGAAAAAAAAAATAGATGAAGCTAATAATTTCAAGGAAAAGTGACTCTTTTTTTGTGTTCTGTATCTCAATAATTTTGTGTTTTGTTCACTGAAGAAGAGTCAAATTGGGATCCGAAACGTATGGAAATTATTTATCTATATATTTACAGTCTTTGGAACCATAAATTAGTTTATCTGGATGGATACCCGTTTAAGAAATATTGTTTTAATCAATAAATTTATATATAAATTTGAAATGATTAACTTTCTATTCAAAGATTGAAAGAAACATTTTTCATCAATTATACGTTTCGATTCTTGATGTGTATCATGATTCATCAAAACTAAAATACATTTATACAATTAATACAAACATGTAATTAAAAATTAATGATGAAATACATAATGATAAGAAATATACATACCAAACCAGGACAAAAATAAAAACTTAAGACTAAAATTAGTTAAAAAAAATATAAATAAAAAATAGTTGTTGAAACTATTTTTAGTATTTAAAGTCCTGGTTTGGTAAGTATATTTTTCCTCATTATACATTTCAACATAATTTTTGTATAAATGTTTTTTTCATAAGCACAATTTTTTATATAATTTGCAAGTAAAAACGATTTATAGTCCATAACTATTCGAAATTTGGTATTAGATATTTTCTAAGGCTATAAAATCAAATAACGGAATTTTAGAAAATTTATAAATAAATTTGAATTACTTGAAAGGCAAATTCTCGATAAATAATTATTTTTAACTATATTGAGAACGTATTATGTAACTATAATGCTACATATGTGTGATGTTAATATTTGTTTTTATTTCTGTTTGTTATAATCTTAAGTACATAGTAATATATTTTTATATTCATATAATAGATATACATATATATATATATATATATATATATATATATATATATATGTTTGTCATAGTCAGGGCCGAGGGACTTTGTTTTATTGATGCCTAAACAAAAATTCATGTAATATGTATTAAACCATATATATATATATATATATATATATATATATTTTGTTTCTAAAATTTTTGATTCCAAGTCTTTGTGATGGTTGTACATTAGGGTGGTCCTCAATATGGATGTATTTGAATTTCCTTGCTCCCAGGGGCTTAAATATTTTCAAATTGTTACAAAAAAATACTCTGAAAGTTTTAGCTCTTAATATTAATTTTAACATAGTCCGCACTCCAACCAAAGTTGGTAAAATTTCATTTCAGCGACAAGTGAATCAAAAATTTAAGAATAACATTATATTTGCTTGTTTTGATCATAAATAAAAAAATACACACAAATTTGATAGATTTCATAAAATAAGTATTTACATAAGAAGAAGTACTGAGAAATTTTGTTTAAAGTGCGCACTATCTAAAAGTTAATATTAAGAGCTAAAACTTTCAAGAATTGTTTTTATCAATTTGGAAGCATTGAGTCCTTGGGAGCAAGGAAATTGAAAAATATCCATTTTAAGAGCAACCGTATGTACATGTGACATACATGTACATGTAAATATTACTTTGTTTAGGCTTCACATAAAAGCATAATTTGTACTCTGGCTGTAGCAAATTTTTTTGCAATACTAGATTTATTATAGAATAGTAGTAATAATTTTATATTTTTAGAAAATATAATTTTATTTTATTTTATGTGCATTTAGGCGGCCTGTGCCTAAATAGACAACACAGTTAAACTGTGTTTTGAATGCGAGAAACACAAATACAATAAACCTATTTTATTTCTAATGTGATAAAAGAAGATACAGAATTTCTTTGGTAGTAAAAGAATTTTTTGAAATTTAAGTGGTCAATTTTCGGATAAAATAGAAATGTTATGGAACCTTATGTTACGAGTCTATCTTCTTAAAGAGCTTTGTATTTGCTTTGGCATAGAGTATTAACTACCAATTCATACAAAGATAGACCCGTAACATAGTGTTAATATTACATTTCTGTTTCATCAAAAATTGTTCCATTATTCATCTTTCATTTTCATTAGACTTGTAAACTCTTAAGTTTTGAAACATGGCAACATCATAGGTAAGATAATAAAATTATAAACCTCCGTTGATTGAGTATAAATTTAACTTATTACTATTAATATAATTATCGAAATAAGTATAATTATGCATGTACATAATGTTGTAAATAAATGTTTGATTATTATTGCCCATTAAATATAAAAACTAAAGTATTATAATTGATTCATTTTAACGCATACAATATATATATTTATATTTAACCTTTAAGATTATTAAAAGTGAACAAATGTGGTGTGAAATTCTGTTGTAAAATCCTATTATAACTAGAATATAAACATAGTTAATCTTAAGAGTTATTTTATTTAATACACATTTTTAATTTAACATTCATTATATGATTAATACATATTTAGATAAAAATATTCATACTTTTAGAGGGTAGGTTCTTTTTTGTGTTACATGCAAGGAACAGCAGCTCTCTCATTATTCTATGATAGCAGTAGGAGGAAATACCAGTGACCTGACTATTGAGACCTCAATACATAGAAAGGGTCACTGCCAGGTATAAATTTATATTTACGATAAAAATATTTACAATTTTTGAGGGTAGGTTCTAGTTTATTACATGCAGGGACACGAGCTTTCCAACTATTTTATGATAGTAGTAGAGAGGAAACCAGTGACCTGACTATTGAAGACCTCAATACGTAGAAAGGGTCAATTGCCAGGTATAAATGTATTTTAAGATAAAAATTTTTACAATTTTTGAGGGTAGGTTGTTACATGCAGGTACACTAGCTCTCCTACTATTTTATGATAGTAGTAGAGAGGAACACCAGCCACCCGACTATTGAAGACCTCAGTACGTGCAAGGGTCAACTGTCAAGTATAAAATGGACCTTGGTACCTTACTGGAACTCTTTTTCCGATTACTCGTCAACAGGCAAGACCTCTAGAGGACTATGATAAATGTAAATAAAATAAATACTGGTAATATATATTGACAATTGAAACAAGTGCAATGCATATTATAATCAATTAATATTAGGTATACTGTAAATATGTTTCATAATTATTTATGATCTCTCGACAGGTGAAGTTTGTTTGTTTTTGAAGCAGTGGTGCATGGCATCGTGCTGTAAGGCAATTGCGTACTTTCCGTACCAGAATTACATACTCGAGGGTATGTATCAGCAATGATCAATGATTAATAACAATTGTTTTAAATATTTTCGAATAGATTATTTAAAATACTGTTTATTTTATTGATCGTATTTTATTGCTCATATTATCGCATAAAGAACTTGAGATGTTTACATAATATGCCGAATGAGGCATCTATCTGTGTATACATTTTTTTTTTATTTTTGTTTTTTAAATTTTTTATTGAAAATATAAATTTTAAATTTCTCAGACAGAACAAAATGTTCTGGTATGAGAGATCGTACAAACATCTATACAATAGTATTATTTTATACATGTCATTATTCAGGTCATTATAAACATTTTATATCATTTATTTTTACATTCATACTTTGGTCTAATTTATTTATCTATCTTTATAATATTCTTTTAATTTCATTTCATTCTTCACAATTAGAATAATGCATATGAAATATATGAAGTTTTAAAATGTAAGTTTAAATTTATATTTAAAGTATAAAACTTTGTATATTATTGAAAATTTTGAAACAAAAATTCTGAAAATTTTGATATTTGTTTGAGCGAATTTTAAAATTTGAAATCTTGGTACAGAAATACTTGAAATTAGTGCTCATTTTTCAAAAACTGCATCAAATATCTGATCATGATGCATACGTCTAATGTTCATTTTTGACCACCAAATATGTATTTTTCCTCTGTATTTCCAAAACCACTAGACCTGTCTTTCCAAAAATATAATCAATTTATCATTTCGTCAATACAAAATGTTTCAGCAAGAACTCGATTTATATTTCTACACTCTTTGCTCCGTATCTCCGTAACGGCTGGACCTGTCTTTGCCAAAAACTAATCAGCACATCTCTTTATCAATAGGATCGAATGTTTTCTGAATCATTCAAATCGGTTGATTCGTGCGCCAGAAATCGTGGACGAAAAATGCACAACTCCCAAATTTGTATCGAGGTTTAGAAATAAACAAGAATGGAATTTGTGAGATGCATATAAAAATTCAAGGCAAACTTTTTTTTTTGGCTTGTATATAGGTAAGTGATTTTTTTTGTAAGTTTTTTATATATTGCTTGTATATTTAACTTCATAAGTAACTTTTTTATAAACAACTAAAATTACTCGTTTGATATTTTTGCGACTTGTCTGACAATGGGGCACTTCATAATGAAATTTCAATGTTTTATTAAATAATACTTTAAATTAAATAATTAAAATGTATTTTATTA